GACCGCTCCTTCCCCTCCGCCTCTAGTGTTATCCATTCTCTGTACGTGGCAGCCCTGCGCTCTGTGTTTGTGTTTCTCTCACAAATGGCGAGCACTAATTAACAGCAAAGCCACCTGACCACGCTGACCAATGAGAAGCGCTTCTTGCTTTCCAATATTGCACTACATCAGTGTAGATTGGATTTCATGTGGATCATATTTGAAAAAGTTTGGCTGGTTGCAGATGTTGAAAATGACCAGAAGGTTTAAACTTTAACTGTTGGGTGAATGCAAGTGATCTGACACAGTAGTGCATGGTGGGTAATAGGATGTGATGCTGACCTTGTTTTAAGGGTCCCATTGGTGGGCAATGAAATGAAAGTGTATTGCAGTAGGCGAACAGCCAGGACACAAAGAAGGCACTGGGATTTCCTACACATGGTTACATATAGGCACAGACACAGGTTGTAGTAACTTGTAAAGAAAGGGGGGCATTTTTGCAGAAACCAGATGAAGCTGGATCATCAAGGTGGAGCATTACACAGATCTTCCTTATCTGATGAGAATGCTCTTCTCTTCTCTGACCATACAGGAAGTAAGGGAAAATCTCCACCACAAGAGCACAGACTAAACTACAACTAAAAAAAAAAACACACAAAAAAACCGACACAGGTTCTGACTCTTTCCCACACTTTCCAAAACTAAAAACCATTTGTTGTCCTGGGTTCTACTTTTTAAAAGGGACCTTTTAGGACAAAAACAAAATGGGTATTGCTGTTGCTGACTTGTTTATATAGGTATGTTCCCAGGGCTGTCATCTCTTTAATTTACTACTTGGTGAGTTCAGACCTGGAACACCATGAACATATCGACTGTCAGGACACCGAACCTATGTAAGGTTTTTGAGGTCTGTGACATACTGGGTAGTGAAACACAGATAATGTTAACATTCCTGGAGCCTGTACCTTCATCAACAAGCCAGTAATGGCCGCCCTCATGTTTCTGTCTTGACAGCTTTCTTTTAAAGAGCAACCCATACAAGGACAATTGGCAAACCAATAAAGCACAGGAAACATGCTCTCTAATGCTTTGTTCATGCAGGCTTCAGCTTGTATAAGCAGTGTGTACAGCAAGGTTATTTTATGATCATTATAAGTGTATCTGCACTTGATTTTTCTTTTAGTCCCCCTGCAATGTCCCATCAATACCTGTTGAGCCGGCCAGTAAAGACTACCTAATGCATGTTCCTGTGACAGGTTGGCAACAATGCTGCACTGTGTCTGAGCTGCCTCTCTTATGTAGGCTGTACCTGTATGCACTACAGTGGGAAGAACAAAAGTTGCAGGGGGCAAGGCTGTTGGTATTGTCACTGCTCATTCACAATCGTGAAGGTTGTCATTGAGTCGGCACCTGGTCACACCAAGCCCGGCCCACTACTTTCTAGATTGACAGCCCTGCCTCTGTTGCTGAAACCTTCCCACTGTGAGCTGCAGTGTTTGGGAGGGGGAGTGTGTGAAACAAAGTTTTTTTGTTATTTGTTTTGTTGTTTTTTACTTATGTAGCTTGTGTATCCTATAGTAACTTGATTTAAGACTTGTTTGGACTGTCATACAGGAGCATTTATAAATGCAAATCTTGATGACGATATTGATTGTCACTTAAAAAAATAAAAACTGTTAGCATGCTTCAGTAAAGCTTGATGAAGTTTGTTAGCAGCTTGTTAAAGTGACGGTCAGCATTTCTATTAATATCTAATATATTCAACATATTAATATTCAACATTCTCAAACTGGAACATAAGAGCTCTTTAAAGGCTTTAACACAGCTGCTCGAAATTTGACAAAGGCTTTGCAAAAGCCCGCTGTAAACACTGCTCTTCTACAATCTGAAACCCATATGAGCAAAGGCCAACAGCAGACAGTCTGTTGTATGTTACCACATTGATACAGGTAATCAATTACGCAGCATTTACTAGTGTGGCATAAGACACAACTAAGTAAGTGTGTGATTTTATATAAAATGACTAGACATAGAAAATAGAGTTTTTTGGTTTGTCTCTAGTGCATTTTCTATAACCTGGTCCCTTCTCCCCCCACCCCCAGTAAAATTCAGCTTAACACTCCAATAGTCTTCTAGAGAGGTAATACAGACAGCTCTTAGGAGGAACATTTGAACAATAGGTTCCTAATTTCTACTGATGTGGCAGGCTCTAGGTTTCCAAGTTGTTCCCATTTTCTTACAGAAGTCAGAGGTGAAGAACCTCATAGTGTTGTGTGCTTGAAAGAATCAAGACAATTGAATAAATAGTATTGATGGCTCCCGAAATGGATCTCCAGGATTTGGATAATGCATTTTAGATTCAGATTAGTTGCTGCTTATTTTGCTTGTCCACATATATTAGATCTATAGATATAATTTATGTATGTTCAGTAACCTGCTGGTTTTTTTCTTTCAGTTTTGTGCAAGCATTGAGGTTTGTGTTTTTGCACACTGACACATGTTGTGTGTGCCTTTTCAATGAGCCCTCAAAATACATCCATCAACCAAAAAAGCGCACCTGCCTTTTTTCCCATCGAGCATTGCGCTGAGGGTCATGAGTCTTGTTTTTTTGGGTGGTTTTTGTGTAAGAGTGTTACTTTGTCTTTGAAAATCAATGGCAATGCACAGACACTGCATGTTAACGCAGGCTAAAATGCACAGACGGCTTTAAATGCAGTGTAGAGATTATAACATGGAGTCAGACAAATAAGATGACCAGACTGGCTTCACATTGCTAGAAAACAGACAAAGCTAAATTGTCAATCTAGTGTGGAGTTGTCCTTTAAACATGA